TACATAGTTGAATTAAAAAAAAAAAAAGGAAACATACAAATTCAACTGAAAAATGATAGTGCAAGCAGGTAAATGTGAGCAGATAATCCATTCAAGGTGAGTACCCAGTTTGACATTTAAACAAAAAAAAAAATAGTGTGAGTTTTGGATATAATAATTTTAGAGACCAACTGTATTAACTGATCATAAGTGATACCTTCATTAAAGCAGCACAGTAGATTTCTAAGTTTAGCCAAAAAAATCCATTTCACTTCTCCACAGTAGCCCGAGAAATCAGGGCATGTCTTTGACTGTTAATAACAGAAGTATCTGTATACTGAGAGTTCACTTCTTCCTCTTATTTAGCTTTACAATATTAATTTATTTTTGTCCTAACCTCAGTCTAATCAACATTATTTTGGTTCTGTTTACTGCTTCCTGCATAATCAAGATGTTTAATACAAGCCTGTGGTTACAGGTTTACACTATGTAAAAAGTATGTAAGATTAAAAGATTGCATTAAAGAAGTTAAGAGATGCATTTTGTAGTGAAAGTCTCTTAAGGTTAATCTCTTTGCTTAACTCAGGCAAAATCTAAGGTGATATGTTCAACTTAAATGGAGTTTCACAGGGTAAGAACTTTCAAATAATGTTCTTGAAAGCAGGAAAGAAGATCAGAAAAAGATCCAGTGGTCAGGATTTGAAGCTAGGCCAATGGGCTGAGTGTGTGTGCATACATAAATATATATATAAATTAACAGTAAGAGCATTTGTAAATTTTCCATAAACAGTCAATTTTTAATTGAATTGATTGAATATTTTTCCTAGAATAAATGCTCTTTTTCAAACAAGAATTGATTCAGGGAATTTATACTGTGGTATATTAGAGGTCGAACTAGGTGATCACAGTTTTTCCTCCTGGTCTTTTAATGTAAGAATCTTAAAATAAGCTGCAATGTAGCGGAGATGGAAGTCGTGATACAGATGGGGCAGCTGAACTTCACAAATTCTCAGAGGCAAACAGTTGCCAGCTGGTCAGACTTCATAATCTTAGGAGGATAGCTTTAGAAGAAGCAATTTGCACACTTCTCAGTAATTTTGGCCACCTCTCTGCTGTGCTGGATGAAGGGAAATCTTTGCACCTAACAAAACTGACAGAAATATTGGGCAAATATGGAAAGAAATAGATGTAACTAAAACATGTAATAAGTGGTGATGATTTTCCTGCTCGATTTTGCACAGAAATAAAGCAAAGCAATCCCCCCTTGCCCCCCCT